TGTAAATTCTTGCTTATGTCTGACAACCCCAAACATGCAGGTGTCTCAAACTAGGTTTTCTACTTATCCATAACTCAAAAGGAGTCTTTTGAACAACTTTACTAAGAACCCTGTTCAACAAATATATAATAGTCTTCAAAGCATACATTCACAATAATACAGGTAAACATGAATTAATTAACATGCTCCTAACCATATCCATTAAGGTTCAATTATGTTTTTCAAACACAACATTTTGTTACGTTGTGCCTGACATTGTGTATTGAGCATAAATATCACGTTTCTCAAGGAAATTAGCAAACGGACCAGGGTGTTGTCAACTTTCTTCATATCTTTCATAATATTCACCACCTCTATTTGACTTGAAAATTTTCACCTTTCTGTCTAATTGTCTCTCTACTTCATTTATATAAACTTCCAAGACATTCACTGTTTGAAATTTCTCATGTAGTAAATAGACATATCGATAACATGAGAAATCGTCAATGAAGGTGATGAAACACTTCTCTTTATTAAAAGAATTTACATAAAATGGATCACACATATCAATGTGTATGATTTCAAGAAGCTGAGTACTTCTTGTGGCTCCTTTATCCAGTGTCAAGGATTAAACGATAAGTCCCGATAGCTTCCATAGAACCTTCACTTTATTCCCCATGAAGACAAACTTCTCATTTGGGTTTATGGTTCGGGTTTAAAGGAATTCCTACATCACATTAGAAACATGAGTCGTACATTCAGAATATATCCACCAAGTATTATGGGGAACTTCAGTTAAGTTTGATTCAAAATATACGTAAACATTATGCTCATCTTTCTTTTCAAACAAAGCTTTATGTTTTAAGCAATCCTTATGAAAATGTTCAGACTTCCCGCATAAATGACATTTGTCATTTTTCTTCTGAATCTTAGTAGAAGACTCGCTAATCTTTAATGGTCCTTTACCCTTTCCATGTTTCTTAACAACTTTCTTTTCAACTCCTTGATTTTTCACATAATGAATAAAGTGACTTCCTAGATTGTTGAGTCTGGTCTCCTCTTAGACTAACATATTGTTCAATTCATGCACATTTCATTTGTCTTTCATGGTATTATAGTTCATCTAGAACAGACTATACTCAAATGGTAACGAGTTCAAAATGAACTGCACAAGAAAATTTTCTTCCACTGTATTTCAAGAGACTTGAGTCTTGCTGCGATATTTGTCATTTTGATTACGTGTTTATGCATACTACGAGAACAATCAAACTTCATGGTGGTCAACGTACTCATCAATGTCCCAGTGAGGGATTTGTCAGCAATTTGGGAGTACTTTTCCACAAATTTCATAAACTTTTTTGCATCCTCAGTTTTAGGAAGAACAAACTTAATATTGTTTGTTATACTCATTCACATAAACATAAGACTAAGTCTGTTTGACATTTTCCAAGCTCTATAATGAATTTTCTCCTCATTGCTACTAGCATCAGTGATAACAATCGGTCCTTCTACTTGGAAAGCCAAATCAAGATCCAACGCACCTAAGTAAAATTGGACTTGTTCACTCCAATCAGGAAAATTTAACCCATTAAAGACTGGAATAGACAAAGTGAGAGAATGTAGAGATACAGAAACATATACTGCAATTAACACATGCCTACCATTAATGCTTTGAGTCATAAAAATTAAACATAAATACAGATTCAAATATAAATTATCATTCTATGCATACTAATGTTCTCGTTTGGGAGATCCACAAATACACAAACATAATGACGCTAACTATTTTATAACACTAATGATAATTAAAATATACATCTACTAGAATCACCTAACACCTTTGGGTATATAAACAAAATTATTGACACACACAAAATTATCTACCTTCATGTTTATTAATTATAATAACAACTAATCAACCTTTGGGTGATCCTGAAATACCTTATAATAATGAACTTCAATTAACCAATAAATCAATTATTCATAATTTTAGCATTCATATTATGGGTAATTGAAATAAAATCATTAATAATTTGAAATCAAATAACCTTAACATTTTGGCCACTTTGGTGACTAACAAAATTTATCATGCTTAATTTCAAATAAATAATATGTTTAATTGTTATTAATCATTCATAACATTTTTCATTAATTTTAATAAATATGTACATTATTCATATAATAAAATATTTTGTGTCATAAATAAAATTGAAACCTATAATTTCAATTTCCATTATAGGATTGATTTTCAATCCAAGACTTTTCTTTGTATTTCACCTAAAAGTGAAATTGTCATCAATTCAAAACTTTTATGAGCAACTTAAACACAATAGAAACAATTCAATTCAAAACTTTTATAAGCAACTTAAACACAATAGAAACAATTCAATTCAATTTGCAAAACAATTACGGGATTTTGAAATTGTTTGATCAAATTACAAATATTTATAATTTTATAATTTCAATTTGAAACCAATTATAGGGGAAAACATAAAATCCCTAAAACTTATAATTAGGTTTCCTAAACAAATTTGGGGATAAATTAGAGTTTATGCTAATTTGATAGAGAAATTCCTAAATTCATAATTAGGGTTTATCTTAATTTTAAATTAGGGTTTATCTTAATTTTAAATTAGGGTTCATCTTAATTTTATTGAGAAATCCCTAAATTAATAACTAGGGTTTATCTTAATTTGGAAAAAACTATAATAAGAAAAAAATCATAGATCTACAATGACTCGATACCACATGTAAATCATTATATAATTTTCTTATATTCTCATTTATTCCAAAAAACTACTTTACATGATCTTTTGATTCATGATTCTCATACAGATAACATAAATCACAATAAGGAGACTAACTTTGATCCATGAGAGATTTCCAATGAGAATGCGTTCTTCAATGTCTTTGCTCTCCAACCTTCTTTTCCTAATCTATCTCTTTATCTTTTTTCTCTTGTCACACTTTTATGATGGTTTACTGTGAGAAGAACCTTATGGTCAGAGACAGAATCCTAATCCCCTTTTATTAACCAACGTCCATCAAGTTAGTTATCCTAAGCTTTTATTTTATTTTATTCTATTCTAACTTCCCATAATAACTAATAGGTCCTTATATTTTATTAAATCACATTTGGGTCCTTTATTATATTTCACATGAATCACATAATAGAATTGATTAATTAAATTAATTCTAACATATGTATGAGGGTATATGTTGAGATGTGTGATGATGAATTATTTATATGAATGAGATGTTATGTTATGAGAATTTGTGTTTTACTTTGTTGAACTTGTGAGTTATAATAAGTTGAATTATTGCCATGCGTTTGAGAGTTATTTATGTGTTTTGAGAAGTCTAAGCAATGGCTTTACAATATGAAAATTTAAGTTATGTTTGGTTATTTGAGAAAATCTGAGCATTAATAGTGTAAAATTCAAGTTATGCTTGGTCATTTAAGACGAGTAATGCATTGGTTTATAATACATACTTCATTCATATTTTTTTAGGGGTGAATGCGATCTATGAAGGAGGGTCTCTATGATCTTTTACCTTGGCCTTGAAAATTTTAGAGGAAAGGACCTCTTCTTCAAGTAAGATGAGGGTCAATCACGACTTACTATACTATCTTAATTGACTCCTGATCTCGACTTGTTCTAATTGATAATGGATTGATAAGGTCATTGCAATCTAGTTCATCTACTCCTAGACCACTTCAAAAACGTGTGAGAGCATTCATACATTGAGTTAATCAAGTGAGTTTATGATTATGTGTTACTAAAATAGTATTTATGCATTTTTAATTCTATCAATTGAGTTAATTGAGTGAATTTATGATTGAATATATGTTGATAAGGTGATATATGTGTGTGTTTAGTGTTCTCCAATTTTTTATACGTGTTTATAACATATATGAGATATATTTATTATTTTGACGAAATATTTGTATAGGTAAACCAATTTTGGGCAACGGAGGAGATAAGAGTGATGAAACTTAGACTTCTTTTGTCTATATTTCATGAGATGTTATTAGGTGTGACATCCTAGATGAGATATCATACATTTATTTTAATTTTATTTTTAAGAATTCTTTTGAAATTTGTTAAAGTAACTCAAATGTGTAATAGATTCTATTTTAATATTTTTTTTATCTTTATAACTTTTATAATGAATGAATTATTCTATCTTTTATTTTTAATATTTTATTATTTATTAATGAAAAATATTTTTGGATAGAAGAGTGTCACTTTTAAAAATTAAAAAGAATTATTTTTATTTTAAAAGACTAAAAAATCACTTTTAAATTTGAGAACTAAAATATTATTTTAAAATTTAGGAGATTAAAAATATTATCTTTAAGTTTTAATACTTGAACTGCTAAAATTATATTTGAGGAAGTTAAATAATCACTTCTAAACTTAAAAACTAAAAAATATTTTTGACAAAAAATATTTTTTTATATCATTATTTTATTATTCGTGTCATTATTCAATAATTAAAAAAAATTAATACGAAAAGTGACTCAAAAGATTAAAATCATGTTTAAATGAAATTAATTTTTTATAAATTTAAATTAATTAATTAATATGTTAAGTTTATTTATAAAAATATTACAATTTCATTTTTCTTTTAAATATTTTTTGAAAATATTAATAGAAGAAAAACTTATGAAAAAACATGTACTCTGCTCAAAAGAGGAGGGGAGTAAAAAGTAGATTCATGATATATATATAATAAATTTTTTAAAATTTCTATATTATTATTTATCTAATTTATTTTATTCTATTTTTATCAATCAACAAATTATTTTATAATTATTTATTTATGTTTGAAAATTTTGAATGTTAATTTTTTTTTTTCTACATCTAACCACAAGGAAAAGGAAGCTAAGGACAGCATCAATAGATACCAACACCGTACATAATAAAATTAACGATCGCTACAATATTGGGCTCTTAATTATTAGTCCTTAGAAATCAGTAGCGGTCTTAAGCAGAACTAACAACACATCAACAAATCTAGAGATGGTTTAGAAGGTAGTTTAGCAATTCATCCATGTATCGTCCTTGTCTTTCCTTATTCACAAATAAATCCTTTACCTCCTTAATCGTTTCTCTGTAGATCCTTCCTTCTTCCTCAACCATAACCAGCCTCAGTGAGTCAGCAACCGCGTCACTCGTGAACGATCCATCTCGTTCATCTCTGGGCACAGAATATCCCATCTTCTTCTCCTCCAACACCCTCGCATTTATCCCCTGATCTGCTAAGAACGTCAACAGAACCAACGGTTTCTCGTTCTGAACAGCCTCCACCACAGAGGTCCAACCGGAGTGAGTCAAGAACCCACCAACAGCCACGTGTCCCAATATCTTCAACTGCGGTGCCCAACTGGTGCACACAATTCCACGTCCCTTCGTTCGCTCTTCGAATCCTTCAGGCAATCGTAGCACATCCGGATCCCACGGCCCCCGCTTAACCCTCAGCGCCCATAAAAACGGAAGCTTTGATTTTTCTAATCCCAAAGCTATCTCTGCCACTTCATCTTGCCTCGGTTTCGCTTCGCTTCCAAACGCAACGTACACCACTCTCCCATGTTCCTGCTTGTCCAACCAATCCTCCATCCACCGCCACCTGTCATTATCCTCGCCGCTCTTGAACTCTGTGTTAACGAGCTGCCCTGCTGGGATAACTGGTTTCTTGAAAATATTCTCCAGCACTTGAAACCACTCCGGTTCAAAGTCGGTGCACCCTCGAATCACCACGATGTCACAGTTCTGGATACTGGAACCTAGCCGGTACACGTCAGAAACGCCGGAATCATTATCGGACATGACGTCAAAGATTTTCTTGATCTCGAAGTACCGATATGCGACGGTGGTCGGAAAAGGAACCCACAAAGGAGGGACAGTGAAGTCTTCAGGCTTTTGGCGGTATGAATCATTGCCCATGAGAGAGGAAGGGGGTCCATAGAAGCCCAGAGTGGATATAGTAAAAATGCTGAAAAAGGCACTCTTCATACCGAATTTGGAAGCGACAGAAGGTGCCCAGAAGGGAACGAAGTCGTAGAAGAGCCAATGGGCTTTGGAAGACTCGAGAAAACGGGTGAAGGGTTCTTCCAAAGCATCGTAGGCTTTCTTGAGGTACTGAACAACGTCGTAGGGGACGTCAGTGGTGGCCTCTGCGTTTTGTGGAAGGTTTTGGACTGTGGGCAGTGGAAGGTTGACGAATTTGATGAGTGGAACCAAGTTTTGTGAGAGTTTCGGGAGGCGCTGTATGTTTCGTGGGGTGGATACGAAGCTCACATGGTGACCCTTTCCAGCAATGAGCTTGGCTAGTTCGAGGTTTGGGATCATGTGTCCAAAGGCTAACCATGGGAACAACACTATGTGAAGCTTTTCTTCTTTCTTTGCTTCCATGATGATTTATCCACCCACCTGCCTCCACAATCAATAACACCGCTCAAGACGGATATTTATTCTGCTTCCTGATGATGCTGGATGCATCTTTAAATAAAGAGTGATGATATTCCATTATTTTCATTAATATAATAATAGTAAAAAATTTAATAAAATATAAAAATTTAAAATTATTATAATATTAAAATAAAATTGTTTAGAGAGTATTAAAATAGTTTTTCCCTAATCTATTTCTATTATTCAGTAATTTTTAATTGGTTCTGGTGGTCCCACAAAATTTGTTAAATATTGTATTTTCATTGGACGGTTATTTTCATATTTTAATATATTTGAAAATTTTAATACTTTATACTATGAGGTACATTTATAATTTTATCTATATTTACTAATCATACCAATCTTTTTAAATAGGTTTTCTTTTATTACGATCAATATAATATATTTACATGCATCATTTTCTTAAAATATTTTCTTTTTGCCGTGCATAAAATAGCAATTTCTTCTCAAATGAATCTAGATTAGCTCAAACTTATATGTTTCTTCAACAACTAATCTTCTTTCCTTTTCTAAGTTCATCTTCTTTTGAATTATTGGTTTATATTCAAATTATATAGACAAATGATTATATATGACCTCGATCTTCCAGACATAAAACACCCTAGTCATATGAGTCTTTTCTTTCTCACTTGTTTATGGTTTAGAAATATCTAAAATTGTAGTATTTCATTATTTAAAGGAGGATGCCTCTTAGTACTCTAAATAACATCTATGTGATTTTTTTTAATCGCCTTTGACAAGGTGATTTCTGTGAAGGAAACTTTATCGTATCCCATGTATTCACCGTTCTCATACAAAACCAACTAAAAGGTTTTGTGCATGACATAATAGTGTTAGGAGGAATCTTTATTTAAGATAACATATCAATTCACCTTCCCTCTTAAACCAGGCTGATTTTTTTTTTGCAGATTTTGAATCAAATTGTCAGGTCATTTGTTGACCGTATAAGGTCTCAGGTTCACCTTTTTTATTTTTCGTAGCATACTTAAATACCATTAATCGATTCCAGTTGCATGTTTTCTTATTACTTTGCCTTACTTATATAGTAGTATATAGTTAATGTTCAATAGCAACAGTTCTGGGTTCTTGAATATGGTTATTATTATTGGTATCCTTTATTTTTTTACCCCTTGAGTTGTTACAATTTTTTTTACTATAACATATGATTATGTTTTTATTCTTGTCAATTGATGAGACATACTTTATAGTTGGATGTGAAAATGGATTTGAGATATGAAAATGAGTGGATTTGAGTGAAAAAGGAGATAAAAGTGAAATTGATTGGATTAAAAGAAAGTTGATAAGAAATAATAAAGGAAAAGGAGAAAAAAGTTTATAAAAATATGTGGTTGATTTAATAAATTTAAAAAATAAGTAATAAATAGATAAATAATTAAAAATAGATTTATTTATTTTTTATAATTTTATTTATTATTTTTTAATTATTTATTATAATTACTTTTTTTAAGATAAATTATTATATATCTATTATTTGAATTTAAATAATTTATTGCACAATATTTTCGTGTTCATAAAATAAAAGATGAATTTTTTTGAAAATATGAAGAATTGCACACCGTTTTTCCAACTTTCCCGTCATTTCCTTCTTAATTGGCTTTCTTTCTCTGTAAACAAACAGAAGCGTAGACTATTTTCCCTTGCAGCCTCTCTGTTGTGAGATAAACATATGAGTGTTTGAATCCAAAACTAAATTGGTCAATATTAGTGAAATTCATCCTAGCTCTGAGATTGGTTAAGAAAAGCATCTTTATCTGCCATTGTGTTGGTGTATACTGTGGTTTAGAATTAGATTTATAATAGTACAATTAAATTGGGGCAAACATGTGTCAGTCTTAGGCGAACTAGTTAAGTGGGATTGGGTGACGGTAAAAAAGAGAAATTATGTGTCTCCTTTGTTGAGATCATTATAGTGGTAGTTCTGTTTTGTTGCCATTTTTTTTTTTAAATGGGGCATTTTGTTTAGCTTTGGTAAAGGGGAAGGTTTGTTTAGTCAATGTAATTTTTGTGCCATTTGGATATGCACCATGAGTTTTATAAATCTGCAGGGAACTTTCATGGTCCAACCTTCTAGTTATAGTTTGGTACTTCCTAATAGTATTTTTTAGTGTGTGTTTATAACTTTAATGTAAATAAATAAAATGAACTTAATCTACAAAAAACCAAACACTGTTAATTGGTACGTCAGTATTAAATAATATGTTCCCAAGACTTATTTTTTATGTGGTGTTGATTAATGGAAGCAAATATTGTGTATTGTGTGTTGCCTGATAATAAAATGAGGTGGCATTTTTTGTCAATACTATATTTGGAATGTGACGTGGACATAAATGTCTAAGCCCATAACGAGAAGGATCAAGATCCAATCCAAGACTTAGGTGGACTTATGACAAGAGGCAAGCCAGAAAAACACAAGAGGCATTGCAATACAAAGTGACTAATTTGTTAAAGGCCCAACTATTAAAAGATCCAAACATAGAGGAGTCTAGACTTATCACATGCATAGAATGTTTGGAGAGATAGGAGGTCAAACTAAAAAATTTAGTTATTATTATTATTTTATTTGCTATAGTGAGGATTTGAACCCAAGACCCAAAGCTTATAATATCTTCAGTGAACCATCTGAACAACTTAACTTTGCTTGGGATTAGGGATGGCAAAACGGGCTAGGCCCGATGGGCCGGCCCGCCAACCCGCCATAATATGGCAAGGTGGGTTGGTGTTTTCAACCTACTGACCGCTTTGGCCCGCCCGCTAACCCGTTCGGCCAACCCGTGGACGGGCGAAGCCGGCCGTGCCCGCCTAATTAATAAAAAAATAATTTTTTATTGTAATAAAATTAATTATAAAGATAATATATAAAGTTAAAATTTTTAAAAAGAGAATTAAAAAAGTTTTATTCTCACGGAAAATATTCTCCTTCCTGAAACATAATCTTCTCTCCTGTTCTCCTTGTTTATCCTAAGCATCGATTATTTTTATCCTTATTACTTGAATTAATGGTGTAAAAATTACTCAACCAAGAATAATATAAAGTTTTATCAAATAAAAAAGATATAGATATTTGAATTTTTCAATATAAAAAATATAAATTTTATAAGTTTAACGTTATTTATATATATATATATATGTTATTATTTATTATTATGTAAATTTTATTATTGTTCTAAATTATAATTTCTTAAAATAATGTATTGATTTATATTATTAAATTGAAATAATATATATATATTGAATTATTGACAAACAAATAATAATTTTATTATTCAATTTATTAAAAAAATTTATTTAAAAAAAATATTTTTTTCTAAATTATGGCGGGTTAGCCCGCCAGACCACTAACCTGCCCCTTGGCGGGCGGGCCAAGGTCTACAGCCCGTCATGACTATATCGGGCCAGCCCGCCCCGCCCCGCTTTTGGCGGGCCAAAGGCGGGGCGGGTCAAAATGGGGCGGGCTGACCCGTTTTGCCATCCCTACTTGGGATATTAGGATTTTAATTTATCTTTATTTCCTACAATGAGACAAACTCATAAACTTAAGTTGTATTAAACATTTGGAAATTCAGAATGAACGTGCAAAATATTCAGAATCACTTTGTGAGTTGTTGCTCTGCTAGGGTTCTTCCTTGCATCACTTGATCTTATCAAGAATTATCCAATTCTTGTGGCGATCCTTCTTGGCTTATCAAATATTCTTATTTGTGGCGCCTACGATATCCTTTATTTTTTTTGTTTTATATTTCCAATCAAATCAATTCTTAAAACCTAACCCTAATTTGTTTCCCTTCTATTCGAGTGTCGTCATTTAGTATTCAGAGCAAGGTTCAAAAGCGGTACTGTTCATCGCACTTGTTCCGGTATTGTTCAAAAAAAAACTTGTTGTTTATGCAATTTTGATATTGAATTTCGTTTAATATATATATATATATATATATATATATATATATATATATATATATATCAAAGTTGTGTTTGAAATTAGTTTTACGCAGAAAAGAACAAAAAAAGGAAAAGAATCAAAAAAATAAAAGAATCAAAAAAGGAAAAGAATCAAAAAAATAAAAGAATAAAAAAAAAAGAATCAAAAGAAGAAAAGAATCGAGAAAGAAAAAGAGTTATATATATATATATATATATATGTGTGTGTGTGTGTGTGTGTGTGTGTGTGTGTGTGTGTGTGCAGTTGTTCTTCCTTTAAATTTCAGTGCACATTAGCTGTTTGATAAAATTCCTAAGTGTCAAGCATCTTTGTCTAATCTTTGTTTTTCCATACAGTTTAGATTTGTCTTGCTTGTTGTTAGTAGTAAAATTGTTCTTTGCTACTTGTCCTTTGTTGGTACTACAATTCTATTTTATTCCTTGTGATTGCTACAGTTGAAAGTAATTCTTGAACTATAGATTGTTTGATTCTTGTAAGAACCATAAGTCAGAGAACGAGTGGAAAAAGGCAAGAGTGCATATTATACAAAAGCCAAATTGAGAGTAAACATGAGTGATACATCTTTGAGTGCAAACACGTGAGAAGAGTGGTGAGGTCCTATTGCTTCATTTGTTTGGTCCTTTCTTTCTTTTTTACTTGAAAGATGGCAGGTATAGGTGGTAGTGGTATCCTTCCTCTAGGGGATGACAATAGATTATTGATTGATGCCATTACAGCCCAAATGCAAAGAATGTTGACAGAACATACCGAGGAGTTGTATGGGAGAATTGAACAACTAGAAAATCAAGGAAATGATGATGATGGTGGAGGTAGAAGGAGGAGAAGGAGAAATAATGAAGGTGATGTTAGAGATAACAGAATTGAAGGAGTAAAGCTGAACATACCCTCTTTTCAAGGAAAGAGTGATCCAGAAGCATATTTGGAGTGAGAAATAAAAATTGAGCAACTGTTTGCATGCCATAATTACACAAAAGATAAAAAGATG